CACCAGCCGGTTGATGCCATCAGGCTGACACCAGCCGGTTGATGCCATCAGGCTGACACCAGCCGGTTGATGCCATCAGGCTGACACCAGCCGGTTGATGCCATCAGGCTGACACCAGCCGGTTGATGCCATCAGGCTGACACCAGCAGGTTGATGCCATCAGGCTGGCACCAGCCGGTTGATGCCATCGTATTTCACCATCAGGTTGATGCCATCAGGCTGGCACCAGCCGGTTGATGCCACCATGTCGACGCCACCATATGATTATTTGTACTGTGTTGACTGATAAGAAAGACCTCGCAGAAATAAGGAAGTTCCATATGAACTTCTTAGCTCAGGATCGTAGGAAGTTATAAGAGTTTCATACGTTACTATATATTACTTAATCTACACGCACGAGAATAAATTAGTTTACAAATGATAAATAGCGACAAATTTATATATTAGCGCTCATTAACCGCACAAATCAAATGAATTGCGTACGCCCGGCTACTGGAAAGCGTCCAATCATTCGGTGACGCGCCTCATCTTAACCCTGTCTCTTATACACATCTAGATGTGTATAAGAGACAGATATATAGGTATATAGACATAAATAATCGTCTATATATTCCTAAAGTAAGAACATGTATTGGAAAATTAATGATATGATTAGATTACAGTATGTGACGCACACAATATATTTTTCAGGGACAATATCTAGCATTATATATACTGTGGTATAATATTAAGGGACGTCGGTATAGTATATAGTGATATAGGTTTATAATAACGTGACATAACTATAATATCGAACGAGAAAGACATGATTTTGAAGGACGCATTTAAATTATAGAGTCAATGAGTTTATTTTGGCACGACATAGGTATAATATATCATAGCATGGCATAGGTATAAGATATAAGACATAATATAGAGAAACACAAGTATTATAACGAGCCCCCCTCCCCCAGCGGGGGGGTCGCCGTCCCCCGTGCTGCTGGCGGTGCCGCAGCGCATCCTCGACGCCGTCGTCTGCCGCCGCCTCTTCGGCAAATACTTCAAGCCGTCCATGCTGTGTGCCGGGGGCGTCAAGGGCGAGGACTCTTGTCAGGTGGGCAAGGGAGGGGTAAGTTATTTTGGGTCTGCTTGACTACCCGATCGGAATTAGCTTCTGGTCGAAATATCGCATTTGACATTATAATCGACAGTGAATAAGAGAAGAGTTGGCTAAGCCGAGCTTGTAAGCTTACCTAAAGGGTTCCCTTACAACCCTGAGCCGAAGCATGCACGAGCGGATGATTTCACGTGCTCCCCGAGTCCCAGGCGGCACCTGATGCAGGGTCGGGCTCATGTACAAATTTTGTTAGGGGAGTGACGGCGACACTGAAGACGCTTCAAATTCAGCCGCTCAATTCACAGCTCATGCTCTCGATTCACAGCGTTATTTACGCTCGCAATAATGATTAATTTATCATCCAACGATTGATTTACACTTTTTGACACGTAATAAGAAAATTTACCCGTATATATCAATGCCAGGGGGACTCGGGAGGCCCCCTGTTCGTACGCACCCCCACGGGGGGACACGAAGTCGTGGGGATCGTCAGCTTCGGGGACAACTGCGCCACAGGAGCGCCCGCCGTCTACACTAAAGTCGCCAGTGGGTTTCGCCAGTATAAATATTCATTTCTCTTTCATGGTATATATAAATAAATAAAGGATGAAGTATAGTGTTGAAAAAATGTATCTAATGATAGATCAATTAATGCCCAAATTTTTTAATTAACGAATGTATTTATGACTGAATTCAAATAATTATTAATTATGTATGCCATTGGTTTGTTAAATCTCAGAGAAACTACGAATTTACAGCAAAGAAAATACACGGTAAATTCAAGTGGAAAAAACAGCCAAGATAAAGTGAATTTATTTTGCCTTTCTTTGCTTTGAAATTTTCAAAAATTAGAACTCAAAAGAATCTTTTTTCCCCAAGATAAATAGAAAAATGAAAAGTTTATGTCGTGTAAATTATGTTCACCGAAGTGCAACATATTGAATGTTCCTTGCAACCACCAGTTGCAAGGACCTAAAAAATACTAAAATAAAATAAAACTTAATTCATTTCACACCCACATCCATTCACTTCACACCCACATCCATTCATTTCACACCCACATCCATTCACTTCACACCCACTTCCATTCATGTCACACCCGCATCCCTTCATTTCACACCCACATCCATTCATTTCACACCCGCATCCATTCATTTCACACCCACATCCATTCATTTCACACCCGCATCCATTCATTTCACACCCACATCCCTTCATGTCACACCCACATCCATTCATTTCACACCCGCATCCATTCATTTCACACCCACATCCATTCATTTCACACCCACATCCATTCACTTCACACCCGCATCCATTCATTTCACACCCACATCATTTCACTTCACACTCGCATCCCTTCATGTCACACCCACATCCATTCATTTCACACCCACATCCCTTCATGTCACACCCACATCTATTGTCATAAATCCATTCATCAATTTCATTCCAGATGCGTGTAGGTCTGAACAAAATAGTTCGTTTTGTGACTTTATTGAAATTGTAAGCATCGTATTAAGGGGCCATACTTTCAAAACTCGCTAAGTGATCGCAAGTATGTACTTACGCTCTATTTTCTTGTCTATGATTGGTGGATTTGCTTGGATGGCCGTCAATGATTGGCTGATGAACTTACGATTTCTTAACTTTTTTTGAAAGTATAAGCCCAGGTCAGTTATGTTCGATTAAATTTACTGCATAGTTCGCAACGGTCAATTCCAAGCATGTATTTGAGTTTTTTGCCTAACATCACCTGCAGGTGATGTTGGTGATTACAAATTATTTATGTAATCACCAACATCACCTGCAGGTTTTTTGCCGTGGGTTGAGGACAACATTGCGGATGGGATGATGTGCACCCCACCGGGATGACGGAGGGGTGAAAAGAGAGGTCTCTGTCTCCTGAAGAGGTCTCGGATCTACCCACCCCTTCTCTACTATCTACTTGGCTACAACTCGAACTACCGTAGCATTAGGAAGTATAGAAACTGCTGCTTTAGAAGTTAGATTAAACCTAGGTATATAGATTAGCTTGAAATGTACAATTTAAAATCTCGGATCTACCCACCCCTTCTCTACTATCTACTTAACTACAACTCGAACTACAGCAGCTGAACGAAGTATAGAAACTGCTGCTTTAGAAGTTACATAAAACATAGGTTTATAATTTAGCTTGAAAATGTACAATTTAAAATCTCGGATCTACCTCTTCCCTATTCTCTACTATCTACATACTTAGCTACAACTCGAACTACAGCAGCTTTAAGAAGTATAGAAACTGCTGCTTTAGAAGTTACATAAAACTTAGGTTTATAATTTAGCTTGAAACTGTACAATTTAGAAGTTTAAAGACGTGCTTGGTTTGCTGGACATGGGCTGTTGTTTGGGTGATGAATGGGTCATGAAGTAACTTCGGTGTGTTACTAGCTTGCGGGCGGAGAAGGTTTGAGTTTTCATTTAAGAACTTATTTATATATAGTTTATAGTTTTTATATTATAATTAATTGAAATTTAGGTTAATTGGTAACATAGGTCAATTGAATGATGTAATATTTACGATAATGATTAAATGCACGTTTAGCTTATTATTAAATTGATTATTAGAGTTCGCCTAATTTTTAGCACTTCGGAATGATTAAAAACTTACCGAGAAAACGTGAACTGAAATCTGCGAAGGGAATTTTGTTAATCAAAATTCTTTTGGAGAAAATTTATGACTGTTATTGAAGGAGGTGGAATGGGAAATTATTAGGTGAACCTAAGCAGTAATGTAATTATGATAACTAACTAATAATAAATAGGCGATTGTATCATCAAAAATTTCGACGATTATTTTATTGGGCGTGGAGACGTGTGACTGGATGAAGATCAGCGCCAATACACGAGAGTCAAAAATCCTCATCATTAACACTGAAGAATCACCAAATGTGCGTTCAATGAAACAATAGTCTTCATAGAACCTTCCTTACAGTATGTTATACACACAAGCTCGATTCTCACGTATTGGTTCGGTCGAGGTATGAGAGTCTTCGTTCAACTTTATCCAATCATCCGTCTTCTGCGTTTTGAATGATTGGACTTATTGGTTAAGATGAGGCGCGTCACCGAATGATTGGACGCTTTCCAGTAGCCGGGCGTACGCAATTCATTTGATTTGTGCGGTTAATGAGCGCTAATATATAAATTTGTCGCTATTTATTATTTGTAAACTAATTTATTCTCATGCGAGTAGATTAAGTCATATATAGTAACGTTTGAAACTCGTGTAAGACTTCCTACGATCCTGAGCTAAGAAGTTCATATGGAACTTCCTTATTTCTGCGAGGTCTTTCTTATCAGTCAACACAGTACAAATAATCATATGGTGGCGTCGACATGGTGGCATCAACCTGTGTCAGCCTGATGGCATCAACCGGCTGGTGTCAGCCTGATGGCATCAACCGGCTGGTGTCAGCCTGATGGCATCAACCGGCTGGTGCCAGCCTGTTAGCATCAACGAGGGAGTGCGAAGCGAAACGCAATGCATAAGCTAGTCAGCCCATCAACATCCCTGTTGATGGGCTGATATGAAATGCCTAGCACCATATCGAACCAGTTGGAAGTCTAGTAGCTACTTGAAACTATCGTCAGTCATGATCAATTGAAACGATATTAGATCTTCTGTGAACAAGGTACGAAAAGGAAAAGAATCGGCGACAGGCCACATCAGGCCTACACTTCAGCGCCGAGATCAATATGTTATGTTATGCTATGTTCGTCCTCTTACTGACCGTTCGTCGTTGGTAGATGACGTTGATCCAGAGATACCTACGAGAAACCTCTGTGACAAAAGCTCAAGTCCTCAGATACGAGAGTATCAAAAGAATTAATCAGAAGTAATTAATCGCGAGTAGTTATTGAGGAACGCAAGGTGAACGATACTGAAGGTAGGCTACAAACGCAATTTCCACGATTCAAAGTTGTACGACATTTCGAAGTTAAACGTTCGAAGTTCAATCTGTAAAGGAATGAAGCCAAGTGAATTGTTTGAATAATTATCTCCAAAATAAATCTTTTACTATACATTTTCTAAAACCTTATAATTATCAACCGAACATTCCAAGACCGAACGAAGACTTCTCGGCTACAGACTGAGAAGCATTGGAGGCATCCTCGAGACGCGAGGAGCTGGCTTGAGAAGCAGGAGGGGAGGAGTGAAGGTCTGCTTTGGGCGTCGAGTGAACATTAAAGGGGATCTCAGAGTCTTCCGGAACAGGCGTAACAGACTTCCGAGTCCTTCTCACAGATCTTTTAGAACCTGAAGTGGGAGTGACCGGAGGGAGTCTCGAGTCTGGAGTTAGAGGGGCGGTATGTTGCACGGTTGATCTTTCAGGCACGGGCAGAAGGGATGTTCTACCATGGTTATGAGGTGGAGTCACAGCTGCAGGCAAAATGGTAGTGATGGTCGGGATTTCACCATCCAGAGATGATTCAGAGATATCAGATATGAAGATATCAGACATATCTTCAGTTTCCGTTGTTAGATTCATTCCAATTGGGGATTTCGGTTGTTCGGTGCTCCGTGTTCTTGATCGCTTACTTTTGTTCAGAGACTCTCCGTTCGTAATTGGGGTGGGCAGCGTGATCTCGATTATTGGGACGTTTAGATTTCGTTGCAACGGCTTTCCTGGTCCGGGGCTGTAACCGGAGTCAACCTGAGGGAAGTTTAATGTCAGTTCGGCACACAAGTTAGGGTGGCGTCCAATTAATCTCCAGATTTTATTTACAAATTACAAGGACTAATGTTATGGTTACTCTTTAGTCTCTTGCTTTGCGCGGTTTGACAGAATCGTCGATGGAAAGTTCGGTGGGCCTAACAGTGGAGGCATCGTTCTTAGCCGGTATGGTGGTGGACCTCTTGCGTGCGGAAGAGAAGAAATTTTTTACGTCCGTGTTCCACGCGTTCTTTATGATCTGCAGAATTTCTTCGAACGAGGTCTGAAACGAGCGAAATATTCCAATGTTTATTGATAAAGATATACAGATCAAGTATCCTAACCAGCAATATGTTCACAACCTAATCTTGTATTGAATTCAGTGGAGAATTTATAGCGTCAACCACGCTGGGCTTATGACCTGGAGATGCCGACCTAGGTGGGGTGGTGGGCTTCGTAGAGTAGACTAGACCCACCGTGGTGCCAAAAATTGCACAAGCCAAATTGTAGATGCTCACCAAGAGATACTTTATGAAGTAGTAGATCTTGGCCATGATCGTGTAGGCTACGTGTAGCCAGCTCTTCAGGCACCGGTAGACGCGTGCTGGGAGGATCATCGAGAGGATATCCGATACGTAGTGAAGAACGTATTTAATCGCCCTCACCAATGCCTCGAGCTGAAAATTAAAGACAGGTATAACGAGTTAAAGTTGCGTCTAAAACCTCTTTGGCGCACACACAAACCAGGTTTTCCATTTATAATGATATAACTAATGGCAGTAAATCAACAAGCTTGGTACTGAAACCAGAGGCCCCTTACAATATTGACGTTACCTAAGGCCCATTCAAACAGGGTGTAAAATTCATTTAGTACAACAAGTTGAGGCATGGCGAACAAACTAGAACTTTAATTCCCATCACCAGGTCCCAGCTCTCAAGCAACCAACGATCAAGGCCCTGTGCAACGGCTGAGTTAGCGTAGCCATATTTTTTTGGTAACTCTAGTTGCAGGTCTTACCGTTTCCGTCGCCCACTGCCGCAGTGTAGTCAGCGCCTTTATGATGTCTGCTCTGGTCTGGAAAACGGAGCCATTCCATTTATTCATGAAACTGAAATTCAACTATAAATCCGGACAAACGAAAATCATTTACCGTGTAGCGCTATCTAGCCAGAAAAAGGTGCTTAATATTAATCATGTGAAAAAATTTCGGCCCTAGACGAAACAACTGAGGTGGCAGGCGAAGCTCCCAATTAGGCCAAATCAAACACTCTTGAAAATTTACTTTATTATATGCCAATGGTCTGTTTGGCAGAAGTTTTGCATGAAAAAACTTTATAAAGGAACTCGTCAGGCGCAATAGGCGAAGGTTATTAAGAAACTGATATTTCACATTGTTCATCCAAGTTTAGAATCTCAAGTGGAGAAACGTCTAGCGAGAAATCACATGGTAGACGATGCTACGTTAACCTTCCCACTCTTCAATTCTAATAAGAGCAAATGATGCGCTTATCGTAATAGTCACCTGTTCCCACTGGTTCCTGACGTACGCGACCAGATTGCCGATGGTCTTCATGAGTTTGTCTCCGTAATAGTCAATAGCTCTTATCAGCTCTTTGCAGACCACCTTTATGGCATGGGTGATACCAAGCAGACCGGCTATGTACTTCGCTACCATGAGACCAGGTTTCATGGTGAGGGTGAATATTAACCAAAACCACCACTTCATTATCACGATTGCCGGGTGGAGGATAATTAGGAGCAGAGAGATCCATCTGAGCAGCATGTCCACAAGGAAGGCTTCCTGAGCGTGAAAAGGTAAGGAGGAATATCATCAGTTTCTGTAATTTAGAGCTGTTCCAGTAATTGACGGGAAAGCTATAACTTCAGGTTATTTATGCAACATCAGATAGTGAGAAATTCCTGCTATAATCACCTTGATGGATGTCACAACGGACACGATGTACCAGTATGCGATGAGGAATGTGAGGTTATGGCTCAGCAAAGGGAAGTATTTTTGAAACCATGCAGGTAGCGGAGTACTGTAGAGAAGAAGAACCCCCTGTACTCTTAGTAATTAGTTACATAGGCTGCTATTTGGCCACCAGTTACCAGACCCCAGCCTACAACAGGGGCCATTGGAAACTTTTGTAACAGTGGAGGCTAGCCAGGCTAACTATAACAGGCAGCAAATGCAATCCAAGATACAGAATGAGTACATTCGAAGAGGCTTCTGCAGAAATGAATAAACATTCAAAGACGTGCTCTTCAATCAAGAAACTGTAAGAGCTAAATATCGGCAGTAGTTGCAGATATCCAAACTAGCTTCTAGTATATCTTGCGGTGGGTCATGGTAGTATATTTCAAATCTCATTTGCTTAAATTAAGCCTAACTGAAATACCATAGACTTCATGGATTAGAATGCAACACCTAGAATGAAAGCGATGAACACCATTTCCTGGTTTAGTTTCTTAGAATTCTCAGGACGCACCGGTATCTTAACTCCATTACTCACGGATGAGGGAAGCCTGCTCCAACATTGGACGACACCTCCTGCTGGGGAGCGTTTGGGGCGGCAACGGCGCTGCCATTCGCATCGGAAGGTCCTGCAGCGGTAACCGCCAGACTCGCTCCTTGCCTGGAGGCTTCTGAACCCTCTGGCTTTGTCGCATCTCGCTCACGGACTTCAGCAACACTGTCAACCATCCTGCTAAGTTCACGTATACGATCCTTGTGCTCTAGTATGTAATCTATTGGAAATGTTGAGAATGTCAAGATCTAAGCAAGACACTGGTAGGACTAAAGTGTTGTCCTAATCATAACGTTGCGAACGTAAGGAAATCATCTTCAACATACAATTTGCTGGACGTTTGAGCGGAACTCTCCATCCTAAACGCTAGCCAAGTTCGGAGTTAGCTAGACTTATTTAGCAGTCATATACAGCTACCTTCGTCGAACTATCCAATTCAAATATTCAAGAATGGTTCTCTCCATAGTAACCATTAGTAACGTCAATCTATTACTATGAATACATGCAAGGCTTTCGACCAGTAGTCGCGTGTTAATGACCCTTCTAAGATCTACTGTAGAAGTTTCATTGAACCAAAGAATTTTTAAATTTATAGGTATCAATTTAAGATTACCCACATTTCTGATGGTAATCATGGCACGTTTGCAGCAAATTTTATGCTATGTCGTGCTCAAGATTATCTATTCTTCACCAGTAGGTAAAAATAGAAAATTAATTAACAAAAAAGCAGTTTTCCCACTTCAAAATTATCAAAATCCCGAAAGTTCACCTATTAGCCACATTTCAACTTCATCACTATCTGTCATCGTGTAAATCTGTTCTAAAATTTAGAGCGTCTGAATGTGTACAGCATCATCACGAGACCAGCTAACTAGCCAAGTTAATCGTAACTTCGAACTTTAAACCCCCTATTTCTACAGCCCTACGTCTACATCTTTAATATCTCGTTAGCGCACATGGAAAGAAAAAACTTATCATTATCTAAGTACGTGGTGGCTTCAGTTTCGATAAATCCTCCGTTCCAACCTGGACCATCCAGTTCATTCATGATGAATCGCGTGATTTAAAAGCAAAAACGAACGAGACGAATACAGTTAACCTTTCACCCATAACACATCCTAAACGGGAAGAAGGACAACTAAATACGGGAGGGTAGCCTCCACACGGCTCCCGTAAGACGAACTTCCCACCACCCGTTGATTAGGGCCCTCAACAGCACAATATATTCTACCACGATCGCGGGATAGAATTAGACAAGACAACATCCATACACAGCACTAACTAGTCCTAGCTTTAAAAACAGATAACACATTCGAACAAACCCGCTTACGACACGACACGGATTGTTCCATATTTTCCTCACAGAACCATCACCAGCTATCAAATCAACAAGCCGCACCTATATTCTAAGCATTCAAGTTTGCTGCAAATTGTGATGAATAATGTCCGGTGCTCGTAGCCGGACTGGATGTTGGGTACTTTTTCCTTGCAGTCGCGCGGCCAGAACAACGGATAATATGCGTGAGAAAATTTTCAGGGAATTTTTATTGTTGCTCCGAAATCAGGATCGAAATTTTCAAGAAATTTGTTTTAACAAAAAACTCGGTTCAAAATCATTGAAATGCCTGAAGCAATTTTTCAAGTTGCTTATGAAGTTTCCGAATAATCTTCATGAGCAACTTAACAAATTATTCCGCCGCGTTGCCGAAGAAACGTTTAAGCTAAAGCCATACTTCGAGAACATGGATATTTGTGCCACGCATGCTCATATAGTTACTCATTAGCCCTATTTCCGTATAGCAGCTACGGTACACTATGGTCGTTGACGGATAGAACCTATGGTAGACCATAAACATTGAGGGACAGAACCGACGGCAGACCATGGACATTGAGGGACAGAACCCACGGTAGACCATGGACATTGAGGGACAGAACCTACGGCAGACCACAGACATTGAGGGTCGAACCTACGATAGACCGTGTAGACATTGGGAGACGAAACACTTATCGCGAAATTTTTTCAAATTTTCCTTATAAATATACATTATTTTAATTTAATATTTGAAATGTTTTGCAATTGAAGATATGTAATATAAGAAAATTCTGAGTTTACGTACGTGCGTTATATTTGGAGAAAATGTGTATTTATGATTTTACGAGTGGCTCATCGATTACATGTACAAAAACGGGCTGGAAGTTCATATTGAAAATTTACTATGACGGAACTGGGAAAATTCGATAGATCAATATTATTGAAAAGTATTCATGTATGTGGTATCAATAAAACAAAAACAAAATACTCAATTTTTAAATTTAATCACACAGAAAGATGGAGCACAAAAAAACACTCGTAGCACAAAAAAAGTAACAACTTAGATGAAGCATTGGGAAAATTTCAATATAAATTACACAATTGATTAATGACATTCACCCGGTGAGTGATCAAAAACGTTAATTCATAATATAATAACAGATAATAATACAAATACTGGCAGCTACCAATATTATAAATAAATAGCTGGTGTAAGATAATCATTAACTACCTAATCGATGATTATTAATTGCGGTGAAATACACGTCACGTGATAACGTTTACAAGAAATTAAAAATCTCTACTTTGTTAACTGTACACAGTGCACCACAATTTCCGTGTCAAGAGATCAGCTCAAATATAAATATCTTGACCGAAAGTAATTTTTCGTAAAATCATTTTGATGTTGGAATTCCTATACATGTGAAGAATTTTAAATATTAAATACAACTAAATTTTCATAACACGCATTTTGGACTCAACTGTAGCGGTTATGAACATAATATTTAAACTCGAGTTACTATCATGCGTCTTTCTATACTAAAATTTTCATCATGGGTTTTTCCTGGAACGCCCGAACCACTTCCAGCCGTCGCTGGCGTCTTCCAGTTTCCTCGGATCGCGGGTAACCACCGCCGGTGTCCCCGGGGGCTGAAGAGCATCCGACGGCCAAGGCCTCTTCAATAAAGTTTTACTACTGGAATAATTTCCTAAATATTGGTTTTTGTTCAACGTCGGTACAGTTTTTGGGAATTTCAAGGCAGGGTTTCCGGCTTTGGTTTGTTGCAAATGTCCGCCCATCACAAGCATTTCGACTTGTTCTCTGGACAGCCTCTTTGGTGCCTGTTCTGTCCCGAACGGACCAGGTACGGGAACAAAAGTGCCTCTGTCTATTCTATCTACACGAGAGGACTCTGACATGGTAGGAGACTTCCTGTCATGCCTTGTCTCCTTCCAAGACCGCAGAGGGTAAACGTCTCGAGCGGTGGTAATCCCTTGGACTCCTTTGGGAAAGTTGGGCCTCCAGATCAACATTTCTTTCGTCAAGTTTACTGGGGCGTTTGAGTGTGGAGAGAATTCATTTGTCGACATAATATATCCATTTGCTAAGGATGGTTTCGCAGAGTAGACGCCGTTACCCTCTGAATTATTCAACGTAGGAGCAGTGAAATTTCGATTGGAGTTATGGGGCTTTCCGAACGAAGCGCTCAAAGTCTCTACCTTGTATTCTTTCTTTAAAACATTTTCAGGAGTGATTGTCGTTCCAAGATTTTCTAAAGGTAACGTAGATGGGAATTTTAGTGAAATTTCATTACTGAAATCTAATGTGCGTAAAGTTGGTGTAGATGGAGTGACATCAGATGATTCTAGAATCAAATCCTGCATCGCATCTTCAATAAGATCGACCTCCGTGAATCCTGTGACATCATTGAGAATTTCCTCCTGGTTTAAGGCACTGGCTTCCTGTTCATGTATTAGCAAGTCCTGCGTGTCGAAATCAACGGTATCCACTAAATTGGGGTTTAACTGTGTAATATTTTGAATCACAAAGGGCAAGATTGGAACAGAGTCCTCGAAGTCTTCTCCAGGAGCGTACGCTCGCGTAACTCGAATTGAAGATGGTCCATTTGCTGTACTATGACTAAAGGCCGTGAAGGGGGACATATGCGAATTACTTACGGCACTGCTTACCTCTGGTTGGAGGAAATGGTCCACTTCAACTGAATAGTTTCTTTGAGTAAGGTTATCGGTATGGAAAAATTGTTCCGTCTGTTTTGATGCTTCTTTTCCAATCAAAGGATTTGCAAGTTGGTAAAAGTCCGTATCAACCAACAGGTCATTCCGAACCAATGGGTCTGTCCTTGATGATGAGTCAATCCGATCTATGAAACCCTTACGGACAATAGGTTCGTGAGAAGACCATGCAGCATCCATATCATCACTGAGAAGAAGTATAGGCTCCTGAGGTATTAAAACATTATTTGGAGTTACGGAAAGGATGTTTGGATGTCTTGAAACGTTTGGCAAGTTCATTTGGAAGTGATGAGGTTGTCGTGAAGATAGTTTGCTTGTAAAATCCATAAATGGTTCGAACGTCCTTACGTCCAAGTCGTTATGAGTTGTTGGAAAGGGCGTATGAGTAGGTTGTTGTTCCAGCAAAATAGGTTTATTTTCAGCTTCTTGGTGCTGTGCTTGCGTTTTGTGTGGAGCTTCGTTCTCGAGGAACGAGCTCCCCGTGCTTGGGATACTCATGAGCATTTCATCTGCATTACTTTGAAGTCCGACGGACGGTGCTTCAAAATCACTAGTAATTTCATCGGATCCTTTTTCATTATTTTGAAGAGGCATATCGAAATGCACATTTTCAATTAAAGTAGGATCATTTACCATTTTAGGAGTTTCATTTCTAGATGCCAGTAACTTAGCTAACAAATTTCTATTCGATATACTATTTGCCAATTGTCCTTTCTTTCTTGTTACGGTTTGACTTGCTTTACGGTTGTCAATCTCTGCGTCAGGTTTTCCTGGGAGACCAAGGACTGGAGAGCTTGATTGTTCAGCAGATACAGAAAAAGCAAAAAGTTTTTCTAGTTCTCTTATGAAGTCATCAGCAACAGAAGGAACAATCACATTTACTGTTGATATACCTAAAGGAGATTCGGTGGCCAGGTTGTTCAATATGTCGGAAGATGAGTCGTCTGTGACGCTCGTTGACAGCGCGGTATTTTTTTCGAGTATTGAATCAGAATCTTCGTAATCTTGAGAGTAATCAGGTATTTCATTTACATCCGTAAATACATCAGCTACTTCTTCCTTTTCGACAATTTCTTCATTCAAGGATGGATCCTTATTTCCATTGATTCTGGCGATAGATGTAGTGATGGGAGGAGTGGTCGTCAGTGTGTGGGAGTCTGCCGTTGTAAAAAGTGATTCTGAGCTTGGATCCACACTAGGTAGGATGAAGTGCATGTCGTCTAGGAGACGCAAGCCAAATGCGTTTCTTGGACCCGGCCTCCATATGAACACGGGAGTATCCAAATGCAGAAGTTTGGAATCGTCTGTGAAACGACCGAGAAGTAGCTGAAGGGAATCATTTCTCATTGAACCTAAATTTGATTCGAAAAAGGAAAGAACGTCTTTGACGTCAATGGCGTTTTGAGAATTAATATTAACTGGCAATAAAGATTTTTCGGATGTTTTGTTTTCCTGAGTTGTAAATGTGTCTAATTCAATTTGCCCTCTAAACAAGTGACCAGAAG